CTCTATACACAATAGACGCTAACACAATAAATCCTAATTGCTCTGAAGGACCCATTAGGCTGTATCAGGTCAATACATGGCAGAGCTTTTTTTGAAAATCAGTCACCCTGTTGTTACATAAGCCACAAATTGAAAGTCCATAAATAAGTATTTGCCAAATGAAGAGTGAGGGCTTTGCCAGGGCTATACTAATTTATCATGTCAACTTCACTATGGGGACTGTTTTCTTTTGAGAGAAAAAGAAAAGGGAAAAAAAGGGCATTATGTGCTGTGTTTCAAAAACTACATATCTGAAAAGTTTCAGATGTTTCAGGCTGCACTATACCCCCCCAAGAAAATTCGATGTAAGGAACTTCACTTCTTCCTCTTTATCTCAGTGTTGTGAGTCACAGCAGGGGATTTGAAACCAGCCATGGCTGTGGCATGGCAGAGGCCCATCTTCATCACCACTAACCCTCCTGCAGCTCTGGGCCAGGGCCCTGATCCTGCCTCTGCATGCTGTGGTAGTGGCACCTCAGGACAGGAGCATCCCTTCAATATTCCAACTGTGGCTTATGGGAAGGTTCCCAGTGCCTGGGGAGACCAAAGAAAGCTTATTGCATATATTTTATGTGCACTTATATGTACAAGTATAGTTAATTAATAAGTGATGATTTTGGCAAGATTAGTTTTATGTGCAGCCATCTTCCTGATTTTACTTTGGTCTTACCTGAACTTCTGGTGGCATTTTTCAAACTGCAGCACTTGTGTTAGTTAGGTGTTGCTGAAATTTGTGTCACTGTTATAAATTAAGTTTTGGATTAATTCACTCAGAAGTTCTCAAGTTCCATGTAACTTTTTGGATATGGCTACAGTTTGGCATGGTTTTGTTTTCCTGCAATATGCTAAGGTGTGTAAATGCACAGGTGTATATAAAACCAAATTATATTGATGTAAGCTAAGATTTTTAAGGGAATGGTGAAAAGCATTCAAATGATTTAAATCTGAATTCCTGTCCCCAAGCCACAGCCTCTAATTCATCTGGGCACATGAGAAATGCTCACCCCACTGCTGTTGCACTTGAGTAGGATTTGGGTGCCAGGGTCCCTCTGCAAATGCTGGCAGTGATTCTCACTCTGCTCTGCCTGCTTGCAAAGGGCCAGGAGTCCCTCTGTCTCCCTGCCTGTCAGGTCCCTCCTTGCAGTGCAGCAAGAACCTTGGTCTAATTTAGGAGCCCCCTGCTCCAGGTGCTGTTGCACGAGGTCAGTCTTGGTGCTGGGGTTTGCAGCACAGGCAGCCTGGAGCTGCAGCTCTCAGGTGGGAAGGCAAACACTTGCCAGGGGTGGAAGCAGAAGCACACCTGCCTTGGTGCAGCATGCAGCCGTGTCCTCAGTATGGAACAAACACTGATATCCTTTTGTACCAGTGCACAGTGGTCTGCTGTGCTGGTGCTGCCTGGGGGCTGCACCCTGATGCCAGAAGTGATGTCTGTTCCTGCACTCCTGACAGGCAGTAAGGCACAGTCTTGTGCTGCTGCAAGGCACCTTATGGTCCCCAGCATCTCCTCACTCAAGCAGTTTGTTATCAGGGGTCACTGCTAATTTGAGCAGTGCCTGAGCCAGCATAGCCTCCAGCTGGGGTGACTGGCAGGCTGCCACCAGCACTGGGAGTCACCTGCGCTGGGCCCCCACTGCTCCCTTCCTGGGAGCTGGAGACTTGTCAGCAGTGCAGACAAAACCAGCATTTGCTGCCTCAAGCAAGAAGGGTCGAGGGCCAAGGGGTGGTGTGCTGATCCTGTGACAAGAGGGGCAGGAGGTTCCTGCCCTGCTTTGGTGCCGGCAAAGCCAAGAGCGAGATCAGTGCTCTCCGGCTTTGTCCCTGCCCAAAGCCCGGGCTGAAAAGCTCTTTGCAAAAGTCTGCCGAGTCCTCTAACAAGGGCAAGGGCAATAGCCAGTCTTTACAAAGGAAACTCACTTAGTCCTTTTCTAAAGTCTTTTAAAAGTCATGTTATCCTTCACCAAAGCAATTTGTCCAGGTAAACAGTGTATGCTGACAATCAGCAGTGAAAGAACCAAATACAGAAATATTTATCACCTTTGTACTTTCTGCTTCTACCAGGAACCACTGCATCCCAGCTGAAAACTCGTCAGTGAGTGGAAGGTATGTCTGTGAGGACATGTATTGCCAGTCCATGCCTGAATCCTCTGGGCTGGAGCCAGGAGCAGGGTTTAGATGTACTGCCAAGCAGACCTGCCTAGCACAGTGGAGCTTCACGGACACTTCTGCACATGGATAAAAGGTAAAGTGATTTTTAATAATTTAAGAGTTTTTTAACTACAAAAGCATTTTCATAGGGCCAGGAAACACTTTGGTTTTTGTCTGCAGGGTTTAGCACAGTAAATTTTGTGCAGACACATTTTGTTTATGTGCTGGATGCACTGCACTCTCATCCTTTACTGAAGAGGTGAGTAACAAACCTATCAACTGCACTTGCACTTACCCCGTATTTAATCCTGCTCTGGTTGTTCTGCTACATATTCATAAAAAACAAAAAGGAAACAGAAGCACAGAGCAAGCCAACAGATGTCTACCTGGCTCTTAATTGGATTTTATGTGTCCCCAGTGTAGCAAATACAGCATTATTTACAGCCAGGCTCTAAGAATTAGATACATCTGGAGGAGTGGCAAAACCTGAACCAGGCTACAAGAGTTGATAGATGAACTGAAATGAAGAGCTGCCTCATTTTCCCCTTCTTATCTTCTCCCTTCCCACTTATGTACCCATTCCCCATTGTGTGTCAAATCAAACTTAGATGTTGCCCAAGAGAATGCTTATAAAAATGAAAAATGCCAACAAAAAAAGACAATTTCTGCTCTTATGGAGCTTCATCAGCATTTTCTAATTGTACAGCAATGATGATAATAAAAAGGCTGCCCTCTTCTCTCAGCTATAATTTGGATAATCAACTGACAGCCATAATGAAACTGTCTGTGATTGCTTTCTGCTGGGCTGCTAGTTCACAGAAACTCATTGTTGAGAAGAATTAAAAGTTATGACTCCTGCTACAAGGATATGCCACTGTCTTCCAAAGTAACATTATAATTTTCTTCTGTATAGCTCTATTACAGGGAAAACTTACAGTGTAAAGAGGTATAGGGATGTGAGATTTATTTTTTTTCCTTTAAAAAAAAAGTTAAGAGTCAAAGTTGACAGTGCTAAGTAATATGCATGCCTAGTCTGGGTGGATGTGGATTTCAGAGGTGGTCGTGAGGTCTCTCGCCTTTAAATGACTGATGGCTTTGCTCATCAGCAGTCAGTGCTCTGCCTGAGAGTACATCAGCCACTGGCCTCAGAGCAATAAGCAAGCCAGGTTTTGCTTCTGGGAGGAAGGCAGGAGCTAAGTCATGCTTTGAGTATTTGCTTTGTGGCTCTGAATGCCATTAGGGGTGTTTTGGGTGCTGGTGTTCCCCAGCACCACACCTTGAATGCAAGGTGTCTGTATCTGTGATGTGCTGTGGGAATCGTAGATCTAGGGCTGGATGCAAGTACTCTGGTCTAAAATGCCCTTACATCCACATCCACTGAGGTGGAGTGAGTAGCTCCTGTGCAAGGCCTTCTGCCTTGGGCAGAATAAGGCTCTGCCATAGCAGCTGCAGTCTGGACCCCCGAAGGTCTGTTCCCCTGTGTGCCCTGAATGTGCCGCGGGCTTTAGGGCTTTCAGGGAAGCGCTTGAAAATCGGGCTGGCAATTTCGGTGTTTACGAATGCATGGACTGGAGGATTGGAATTCCTGGCAACTGAGCGTGACCACCTCGGTGGCTCTGGCAGGAGCCCGCGGTCCCAGGGCTCTGGGCAGAGCCCTCTGCCCCGGCAAGGTCTCGTCGTTGGTTCGCGCTGCGCTGCAGCAGCGCCCGCCACTCGCCTGGGCGGGAAGAAAAGGGCTGGCGGAGCGGATGGCGACCGGAATCCGGGGCAGGAATGTGGTAGCGCAGCTGCCTGCACTCGGGCAGGGGCGGCTTTCCTTCCCGCCGAGGCTCAGCGTTCCGGCAGTCAGGAGCGCCGCCCTGGGCGCGGGCAGCCCCGGTAGATGCCACAGTGTCCCTTGTACCCGGGCTGATGTGCCATGGCCGGAGCAAGGCAAAGCCGGTCAGGACCCCTTCACGTCTTCCCCTACCCAGGGTTTCCCCCGTTCGTCCCAGTCCCGTTACGGCAGGCGAGGCCCCGGCCCCTTCCCGCGAAGAGGGGCTGAAGGGCCCGAGGAGGAAGGGGAGAAGCGGCAGCAGCG